TCAAGGATGAGATCAATAGTGTGGGCTGCACACCCCGACCAAAATATGTTAGGTCTCTTCTCATTCAAAATTTTTTATGCCAAGATATTGTTTGTGGCATTATACGTTACTACCTGAACAACATTTTCAGGCCCCACCTGTTCAATGCATTTATCAACGTATTCAAATATAAATTGACCTATATGCGATTCATTTGAGGCCTCTTGGAAAGAAAGAAAACATTTAACTTCCTTTCCATTAACACACAAATTCATATTACTTTTTTTTTCGATTAGTCCAAGCATCGGTCATCACTGAACATCCACATCGCACCCATTCTTCTTCATGACTCTTTAATAAACCTTTAGTCCTCTCAACTTCTTCTCTCAACGGTGTCTCCCTCAATTCATATTGGCCGAGAGGTTCCCATCCGGGTCCAAGCCGCGTTAAAGCTTCACAAAATAGTTTGAAGGTATCATTGTTAATGGCATTAAATGGAATACCGGCTTCATACATCCATTTAGCACAATATTGGTGCACAAAATGTGTTCTTTCCTTGCAAAGTGCATCAATGATCATCTGTTGGTTTTCATTACACCAAAAGAAGCCTCAGTATTTATGGTAGATGCAAACTTGTCTGTTGGCCCAAGAAATTTAGAAGACTTCAATTTCCCATGCCCTTCTTCAAGTTCATCCTCCATTTCTTGCCTATTAATATCCACCTCTGCTCTACGTAGCCCTTTTTTCTTATTCTGTGACTCCTTATATGCAGTTCAGCATTGCTCTTGATCATCTTTATTTGACTTTGGGCAGGAGAAAGCATTTCCGAGAATATGAGCAATATGCTCTTTCATTCTATAAACACATGTCGACATAGTTTTGAACACAAGTAACATCATAAGCGGTAACATGTGTTCAAAACTATGTCGACATGTGTTTATAGAATGAAACAACATATCACTCATATTACTGGAAATGTTGTCTCCTGCCGAAAGTCAAATAAAGATGATCAAGAGCAATGCCAAAATGCAATTAAGGAGTCAAAGAATAAGAAAAAAAGGGTTGCGTAGAGCAGAGGTGGATATTAATAGGAAAGAAATGGAGGATGAACGAGAAGAAGGAAATGTGAATTTGAAGTCTTCTAAATTTCTTGGGCCAATGGACAAGTTTGCCTCTACCATAAATCCATAGGCTTCTTTTGGTGTAATGAAAAAACAACAGATGATCACTGATGCATTTTGCAAGAAGAGAACACATTTTGTGCGCCAATATTGTGCTAGATGGGTGTATGAAGCTAGTATTCCATTTAATGTCATTGACAATGATAACTTCAAGTTATTTTGCGAAGCTTTAGGGCAGTTTGGACCCAGATGGGAACCTCCAACAAGGACTTCAGCAATGATGAAATGTTTTATGAAAAAGGAGATATTGTGAGGCTAGAGATCACAACGTATGCAACAAGTTTTCTGACATTGCAAAGCTTACCTGACAAATAAATCAGCTCTTATATATGTTTGGTAGCGATGACCAGGATTAATGCAAGCATTCAAAAACGGCCAAAGGTAAACTTGATTTATGAACTATGATGAGTCGTTTTTAGAGTTATATCAGTTTATGTTTGGCCATTTATGCAACAAGTTTTCTGACATTGCAAAGCTTACATGACAAAAAAAATCAGCTCATATATATGTTTGGTAGTGATGACCAGGATCAATGCAAGCATTCAAAAACGGCCAAAGGTAAACTCGATTTATCAACTATGATGAGTCGTTTTTAGAGTTATATCAGTTTATGCTTGGCCATTTATGCGCCTCTGGTGAGTTTTCTTCGCCTCGCATATGGAGATAAGGAAACAATGGTATTTATTTATGGAAGCATTCTGGAAGCTAAGAACTCAATCAAGGAAGCAAGTAATAATTTGGAGAAATGCTATCAGCCTATATATGATATTATTGATGAAAAAATTGAAAGATAGGCTAGATAGCTCATTGCATGTAACTGCACACCTCTTGAACCCATACTATATTTATAAGAATCCAAATATTCAGTTGGATCAAGCGGTTATGGACAAATTTCTTGATTGTGTGGAGGCATTTTATCATGATGGTTTGGAGAAGCAAAACAACATTATGAATAATGAGATGAATTTGTACTAGGGCAAGGGGGAGACAAATTGGGAGACCTTTGGCGGCTAAAGGATGTGACAAAAATGATTCCAAATTTGATCCTCATATCCACCTTTGATTACTTTTAATTTTTAAGAGTACACTTTTACTTTTACTTTTTGTTAGGTTTGTTACTCTCTTTTTCTACGGCTTTTTCTATTTTATATTTAATTTGTATTCAGCAAGTTGGTGGATAACATATGGGCATCATGTGCCTAATTGACATTTGACAGAGGTTAGCAATAAGATTCTTTCCTCGACTAGTAGTTCATCAGGTCGTGAAAGAAACTGGAGTACTTTTGAATGGGTTAGTAAATTAGTAAGTACTTTAATAACTTTTATTACCTTTTATCTAAAGTTATTAATTAACTTAAATTGGATGATTATTTGCACTGTCATTTTAACTTCCACGCTTTGTTCTGAATGTTATGTTCTAGATTCATTCAAAGAAAAGGAAAAGATTGGATGTTTATCGTTTGAACAATTTTGTTTATGTACAATTCATTGCAAAATTACTCAAAAAGAAGAACAAGGATATGGATGAGCATCTTGATCTCCTAGCAAGTGACACTACAAATGCACAAGGGTGGTTGGTTGATGTTAACGAAGGAAGTGATTGATCTAACTGTCACTGAAGCATCTGATGGAAATGAGATTGTCCAACCCCGAAGAAGTGCTAGAATAAGAGAAACTATGATGATGAGTTTGAATGGGATGTTGAAGAAAATATGGACATGGATTTTCAATAAGATGGAGAAACGTATATGCTACTGTTTTTGTTTTTCTTCCCACACAGAGTTTTCAAAGCATCATAGTTATCTTTGTGAAAGATTTTATTATGTATTGTAGTGTAGTTTGAGTAATTTAAATTGTACTCTAAGGATGTTTTTACTTGGACTGTAATTTGCTGGTCTGGTCTGACTGGTCTGGTCTAGTCTGGTCTGGTCTGGTAAGGTCTGGTTTCTTTGTATTTTTATAACTATCCAAGTCTGGTCTGGTCTGATCTGAACTGGTCTGGTCTGGTCTGGACTGGTCTGGGGCAAATTACAGTCCAAGTAAAAACATCCTAAAAGCTATAAAATGATGTTGCAGGGACCATGTTGATGAAGATCAAACTGATGTTGTGCAGTTTGGGATTTCCGTGTATTTCAATGTCTCTTGTAATCAGGGTGTATTGACATTTGGGGACTATTATGTTTTGTATTACTCTAGAAGTTGGTTTAAACCCTTGTAAGCTCATTGTGAAGTTTTAATTGATTTAAGTTGCAGATTTGCAGTCATAGCTTATTAGTTATTACTTATTAAATTATTATTATAATACGTAAAATTCAATATGTTTAGTATGTTTAAACTTTATTTGTTTAATGTAATATCAATGAAAATTACTAATACATATGAATTCCAGATGGTCGCTTGAACACGTTGGTGATAGAATGTTGCAACATCAGGACTTCCTCCCAATCCTCGGACTACATCTATAGTAAATGAGTCTATGGAAGTTCTAGCATGGTCACGAAGACCTACAACTAACTCTATTGTGTCTGTGTCCTAGAAAATTCAAAACATTTTGGAGCAAAGTTACGAGACACAACATGATCAATGAAAGTTCAGTGGTGTGTCATTGTGGACCAGTATAGTCAATATCACACGCCTCAGAAGAAGATGGTGATAAAAGATGAGGCTTCCCGTGAAATGTGTTGAAACATTTATCTGTTGGGAGATAGATGGGTGGTCTGGGGGTAGGTTTGTGCATGCGCCATTGGACAAGATGCAATGACTTCTACGCGGTATCTGATTAAATGAGTCATGTACCTATGGGGTTGTCCTGGGTTTTTGAGTGACTAGTATTGATTACTTAGTTGATAGTATAGTAGACGATGCATATGAGTCATTGATTTACGCTTCCCTACTCTCACAATATGCACTCGTGTTTGAACTTGTCCCATGGATATGCTCAATTGGATTTGACTAAGCCATCGAGACTTATCACTTGTTGCTCTTCACCACCACCCCTCCTCAACAGGAGCACTCAGTAGATTGTATTTGTCGTTGTTCGGCACTGGGGAGAAAAAAATGACCCCCCCCCCCCCAATGTGCAACATTGATCATCATTTGGTGCTAAGAGGAAGTAAAGTGGTTCCTCCTCAGAATGTGCAAGAGTTGTCTCATCTTTCCTTTCCGATCTGTCCCGGTAATATTGTGTCATACCAAATTTGATAAAGTTTAAGTCTCTAAATCATTCTACTTTATTCTTACTTTATCAATTCAATATCAACCACAAAAACTCATTTTTCTTAATAACCGTACTAGCACTTCATATTCCAATGTTGGTGGGACGGAGGTAGTAGCTAGATACATAAGATACTGAGTACTACATATTAGATATTTTGCAGGTGTGAACCACATATGTTTTTTATATATTGTTGGACATGTGGTTTAGTTTTTATTACTCACAAATCACAATAGATTCTCCCATTTTGGTCTACACAAAATATTGTAGTTTAACTATTGTAGGAAACTAATTGTTACCTTTGATGTTTGTTTGGTCTGCACGTAAGATTAAAGGTTCAAAAACAGTCTAAGATAATATGCATTTTTTTTAAATACCATGTCAATTAGGGTAAAATTGGAACGGAAAAATCAGGTTCGGGCCGGTCTGGACTGATTAGTATCAGGTTTAGATCTTCGATCTAGTTAAAATGATGATTCTAGTTACGATTCTAATTGATTCCGGTCCAGTCCAGTTTTTGACCGGTGCATGCCCCTGGTCCCTTGTGAGTGATATCTCTTCTCCCGTTCCACATGTTCCTGCTTTAATTGAACAACATTGTGAGGCTGGTGATTCTTCTTCTTTGTAGTTGGGACATGGTCAACGCGTTCAGTACCCTTAAGTTAAACTTTGCATTTAAGTTACTCATATAGTTGTTCGGAATAATCCACTCTCAGGTACTCTCTTTCCTATAGCACATTATATGAATTGTGATAGTTGTTTGGAATAAAAACCATCAGAGATTTCTTTATACTATCACCACATGTGTTGAGCCTCGAACCTTTGTAGAAGCCATGAAGGATGATGCATTGCGCCATGCCATTCAGTCCAAAATTAAATCTTTTGAAGACAATGGTACCTGGACTTTGGAATCTTTACCTACTGGTAAGCGTGCTTTGGGTAGTCGCAAGGTGTATAAAAGTAAGTATAACTCTGATGGGGTCATTGAGCGGCTCGAAGAACGTTTAGTTGTTCTGGGTAATCACCAAGATGAAGGAATTGACTATATTAAGATGTTTGCTCCTGTGACTAAAATGGTCACAGTTCGTGCTTTCTTGAAAGTGGCAGTTGCTAAAAACTGGGAGCTACACCAAATGGATGTATACAATACTTTTCTTCATGGTGATCTTCATAAATTTAATAAGTTTACATGAAGTATCTTCCCAATTGTCAGCCTCCTGATTCTCCTAATCAGTTGTGTCGATTAAGAAAATATCTTTATAGTCTCAAGCAGGCACTTCGTTGTTGGTTTATCAAATTGGTGGCCTGGGAGCACTCAAAACGTATGGTTTTATCCACTCTTATGATGATGATACTGTATGTATCTATTTTAGTGAACACTATCCAAATAAATGTTTTAAATTATGTGGATTATCTAATATTTGGTAAAAATTTTGCCCTTGACTTCAAATCATACTTGAAAAAATGTTTTCATATGAAGGATCTAGGTGTTTTGAAATATTTTTTTGGATATTGTGGCGGTGGGAAGTGCTATTGATTTATTTTTAGGCCAGTGCAAATACATTCTGGATATTATCTCTGAGGCTAGTCTTTTGGGTGCCAAGTCGGCTACTTTTTCTATTGAACAGAATCATTCACTCGCATTTGCCTCTGATGCTCTTCTTCATGATCCGGAAACCTAATGTACCGTCGTTTGGTGGATCGTCTCATTTATATTGATGTTACACGATCAAATTTGTCTTATTATTTCATATTTTGTCTCAATTTAGGCAAGCACCTCGTACAAAGTATTAGTTAGCTACTTTACATGGTGTACATTATTTAAAAGGTACACCCAATCAATTGATTTACTTCAAGCAAATTGTGATCTTTCCTTAACAGGTTGGTGTTATTCTGATTGGGTTGTTTTCCTACTTACTCGCTAGTCTATTTATGGTTGTATGGTGTTCTTGGCCTCTTGGACATTCTCCTATCTCTTAGAAAACCAAGAAACAAGTTAGTGTTTCTTAGTTTGGGTACCCATCATCCTCAACCAATTCCTTTTTTTTTTGTAATAATAAATCTACACTTCACATTGCTCAAAATCCAATTTTTCATAAGCGTATAAAGCATGTCGAGATGGACTGTTATTTTGTTCATGATGTTGTTCTTGATAGTCTTATTACACCTTCTTATGTCCTTAAGATGGTTCGATTAGCGGATTATCATGACTTTAGGAAAGAATTAGTTTTAGGTTTTACTTCACGAGTTAATTTCCATATGTCCACTTGAGGGATATTGACGGGTATAATTACATCACACACATGCAATATTTGTTTTGTAATGGGACTTTTACTTTTACTTCACATGCATGCGTTAGTTTTCAATTTGACTTTTACTTCTTACCTCTATACCATAATATCTTCCCACTTTGAAAGTAGATGAAATTATGAAAGTAAAACGCGATATAAATTATTAAGAGTATTATTTGCAAAATTATTTAGGGTATGATAGAAATATATAGAACTAAGAAGATTATTTAGTTATGATTGAAAAAGAAAAGTGGAAAGATCTTTTTGTTAGGAAGAAGATAGCTTTGTACTTTGTATATCAAAACAAGGTTTAGGATGTTTGATTGAATTTATTTCAGTTCAAACCGGACCATAGTGGTAAAATACAATTGTCTAGCCGTCTTATGCTCTTCACTTATATCTTATAAAAACATAACCTAAACGCTACGGTTATGCATATCAAAGAAGATATCCCATGCCTGTTTTGGTTGAGTCCACAAAAATCGTTCCAAAATGATTGGTGATTTGAAGAAAGTGATTCATTTAGAGCCGTTTCATATTACTGAAATTGGCTAAATCGATTGATTCCGCTAAAATTATAAAGTTCCGCCTAAATGATGGATTGGCTGATTCTACTGAATTATGAAAAATTATATTTAAAATATATTTTATTACTAAAATTAAAAAAAATGTATGAAAAATAGTTAAAATGGTCCTCTAGAGTAACTTTGGTCAATCCAACCAGAAGAGTAACTCCAACCTCACTTATTATAGTTTATACGCAACTCAGCGCATGAAATAAAAATTACGTTTTTAGTGAAAAAGTAGGTTGATAAGTTGAAGAACAGATCTAAAATGAAAGGTGTTCAATGTGATTTGTTTGGAAGAACATCATCTATTCCAAAAGATGAATATTATTACCCCTAAATGACACATTTGTATTACGTAGTATAATTTAATTTACTCATTTTTTTGTATAACTAAGATGTAGTTCTGTTCATCCGATATGAATGTTTTTAGTCTGAATTTTTTAAGATTTGGTCGGATCTGATTTAAATTTTTCTGATGTAGTCTGTTCTGATCTGAATATTTCTGATTTGATATGAATAAAATAAGAATAAACAATAAGTATAAGGAGAATGGAACCACTCCTTAGACTAAACGAAATCAAGTTTGATAATTATTAAAGAAAAATGATCAATGCTTATAATATTTTATTTATAGACGTTATTGGAATGCAAGGATGTGGATATAGCCTAAATGAAAATTTTGAAAATCTGTGTTGAAATCCCGAACCAAGGCAAAGATTAATAATGCAATATGGATTACTTTAGAGAAAACTGTCAAATAAGCTCCCGTGATATATCAGAAAAGTCAATTAGGTCCTCGTACTTTGAAAACATCCGATCAAATGCTAGAACTTCTAAAGCTCGTTCAATTGAGCGTTTTAGCAGCTCAAGAACCGATTTCCCGGTTAACTGCTCATGTGACGGCCACGTGGCAGGTTATTATTATTTTTTCTTATCTTTCTCCTTTTTCGTTTTCCTTTCTTTTTTCTCTTTCATTTTCTTTTTGGGTTTCCGTCTTCGCACTTCTCATAGGCAGACTTCCGCGTCTAACGTTCCCCATTTTCCCTATCTTCCCGCGAACCTTACTTCCCTGTCGTCACTCCTCTTTCTCTTTGTTTTTCAATCTTCCTTTCTTTATTTCTTTCTCTCTTTGTTTCTTTGTTTCTATTTTTCCATTTGCATAGAGGAGAGAGGGTGTCGTCGTCGGAGTTGCTACTAAAGTTCGCTGGAGATTATGGCAAAAACAGTCACGTTTGCTCTGGACCTTCGCGATTCAGCGGAAGTAGTCGCCTGGGCTTACGACAAAGCCGCCAAGGAGTTCTAAGGAACCAAGACAATTTTTTCAGTACCGGATCGGAGGATCTCAACTTGATTCTCGAGGTTCGAACAAGACGAGTCGTGTTTTGCTCTTGACCTTGAATATGGCGGAGGAAGCCACCTGGGTTTACAATATAGCCACCAGGGAGGAACCACGTCTCTTGTGGCAGCTAGGAAAGACCTGGGAGGCTGGGAAGATGGGGAACGATGGGTAAGTCTCGGGTAAGTCTGGGGAAAGGAAAGAGAAATAGAAAAGGAAATAGAAATGAAAAGGGAGAAAAATAAAGAAAAAAGAAAATAACCGCCATGTGGCCTGCCACGTGGCTGCCATGTGAGCATTAATCGGGAAAATCGGTTCTTGACTTGCTAAAACGTTCAATTGAACAGTTTTTAGAAGTTTGGGGGTTTAATGATGTGTTTTCAAAGTACGAGAACGTAATTGACTTTTCTGATATCGTATGGGGACTTATTTGACAATTTTCTCATTACTTTATTATCCCAATGTTGAAATCAAGCTAGACAAGAGAGAATTCCCTAAATAGGAGTAAAAAAAACGTTTTGAAATTACAAAATAGGATTATCATGTTTTTTATATCCTGAATAGGAGTAAATTTCTGTCAAGTTTGTCATTACTAGATTTTAAACATGACACTTTTTTCAAATTTGACAGCTTACTCCTATTCAGTGAATAAAAAACATGATGGTCTTATTTTGGAATTTCAAAAAGTTTTTACTCCTATTTAGGTCAATTTTTGTTTTTTTTGTTTGCACACTTGTCATCCCTTCATGTTTACTTTAAGATGTTTTGTTTGTTTAATGATCCAAGTGAATTTTATTTAATACGTGCTCACCAATTTTTTTTATTAAATTAATAAATTCTCCAATTATCATGGATCCAAAAAACTTTTGGCCTTTTTTATGAATATAACTAATATACGTGCAAAAGACAAAATTGTGATTCGTTTTTAAGTTTTCAAAAAAATGTAACTTACCATATCAATTATGCTTTATTTAATATTGCATTTATTATTATGATATTCCATTCGTATAATTAAATTAATTCATGTTTTGTAGTCGCCACCGCCTCCGCCATCATTGTTGCTGCACAAGCACCACCGCCACCGCTACGGTGACATCATCGTCCAGTGACTGTCACTGCAACATTTAGTGACTTCGTTGCCCTACCATCTCACTGACTCTGTTTCCGAGCATTGTCCAATGACTGTCATCCCGTTCTGTTCAGTGAGTTCATTGCCTGCTTCATCCAGTGACACCAACACTCCTGCTTAGTGATTATGTCGCCCCAAACAGTGACACCCATATATAGTGACTCCAACCTTCTTCAATTCATTTCCAGCAGTAGTAACTCTCCTCACTACTAAATCCGACCAACACTCTTCGTCCAGAGATTCAAGCCCTAACATAAGCGAATCTGCCCCCGGCTCCCCTGCAACAAAAAAATCTGAAAACACAGTTTCTTGCCTTCAAACAACAACACTGACGAAGACGAACGATCTAGGGCTTCAAATTTGGATCTCAACGGCGGCGGCGACGTTTTGGGAAAAGAAGAAAGGAGAAAAGAAGAGGAGTGGAGTTGTTGTGGCGGCGACGTGTGGGCATAGCAGCACTGTGTCGATGACCGTCGATTCACAGGCGGAGGCAATACGGAGCTGATCGACGATTTTACTATGTGAAGCTTCGGTGCGGTACTAGACGGAGCTAGGCAGCGGTGCGAGATTGCTTTCGGCGAAGCTAGGCAGTGGTGCAAGATTGTTGTCGGCAAAACTAGGGTCGATATCGCAACAAGAAAGTTGGGAGCTGGAGGTGAAGCTATGGTAGGAGCTTGTAGGCTTAGGGTACTGGTGATTAGAGAAGATGGCCATGGATCAGAGACGAAGGCTTGAGGTAGGCGGCTGATATTGCAGGAGGCTAAAAAAGATACGATATCAGCTATGGTTAGGGGCGCTTCGGCATATTCATTCCTTATTTAATCACTTTTCTGTCTAAATTAAAACCTAGTCATATATTTGTCCATTCAAACTCTAGGAGCAATATCCTAGTCATTATTTCAAATCTTTTAGCAATAAGGCTTGGTTGTTGTTGAAATAAATT